AGTCCAAGTTAACTCTTTCCATCTGACAAAGAGAACGTTTTTCAAAATTGTACCAACATGTTGCACACCCAACAAGTAGGAAACTGAAATCTGCATCAATCTTAAAAATGGTCGAGACATCCTTCTAATCATGACTAAAGTCCATTACAGGTAGATGGGGGTCTGATACGATGTGTCTTACCTTTGTAGTCACCCTTGTTTCTCATAGTTAGCTTTAAAAGAAAAAAATGGCCAGGTTTCCTGAGTAAGAGCATCTCCCTGAGCAGGAGCCTTGAGGCAGAGGAGATTAAGATGCGGTGAGCAGACCCGTGTCTTCTCACCTTGCCTGCACGTCCCTCTAACTTCCAGAGAGGTGAAGTTGAGCCTGTTTGGGGGTGAGTGCATGTGCAAATGCCTCACCCTTTACTCCTGCATGACAGGAGGAAAGGGAACTTCACTTTGAGAAAAATGAAATGTATTCAAGCCTGTGCCAGTTGTTTGAAAATATAGTGTGTCTGCTTATGGGCAAAAATAACAACTTTTATTTAGCACTTACTCTGTGCCTAAGCATTTTGCACGCATCGTCTCATCTAGTGCTGTGAGGTAGATGCCATCATGACTCTCGTTTTACACACACGGACACTGAGGTATAGAAAAGTGAAGTGACTGACGAGTGCTCTACCCTCCAAGACCATAAATGACAGGCCAAAATTTTAATCCCATGTCCTGGTGGCTCCAGAGCCTGTGCCAGTACCATTAGAGCAGTGGTTTACTAGAGATGATTTTGTCTCAGGGGACATTTGGCCCTTTCTGGAGACATTTTGGGTTGTCACAACTAAATGGGTGCCTTCCTCCCACAAGCTTGGCAGGAAGACAGGAGCAGACAGACCCTAGAAAAGGAAAAGAAGGCTGAGAGTAGAGTCAGCAACAACCGGGCAAGCCCCCAACAGCATCAGCTGCAGGGACAGAACCCACTAGAACTGCTCAGATGAAAGAGCGGAGGACTCCACTCAAAGGACAGCGTCCCCCGTCAGGCCCAGGGTGGAGCATTTGCAGATGTTTCACTGAAGGACAGATGGTCATTGCCCCTCCATGTTCTGATCCAGCCCACCTTTTCAGCAGCATCTCCTGTTATGCCCCACTGGGCACCTGATAAGCCAACAAACACTGCAGGAGGTGGTACGAGGTCGTGTTGAGAATGGGGTCTCTGCAGTCAGCTTTCAGGGTTTAAATCCTGGCTCCTTTCCTTTCCAGCTGTAGGACTTTGGGCAAATTACTACACCTCCCCAAGCCTCAGTGTTCTCACCCGTGAAATGGGGATGATGAATCAAAAACGGCACCTGTCTCACAGGGTTGTGTGAAGGTTAAGGAAGATGCTGCATTCAACCCAGGGCTTGGCCCCCTAGTAAGTTCTCAATAAATGTTCGCTGAGGATAATAATAAGCCAAAGTGACAAAGGTTTATTTCTACTGCCATCTTCCCCCTCACCTGCCTCGATCCTCCCTTCACATGAAGCAGAATAGATGGATTTCTCTACGAAGCCCCTCTTGGTCTTTCTCTAAAAGCTCAGAGCACTTTACTTGAACTTCTCTTTTATTTAATATAACAAACACTACGTGTCTGCCAACTGTGCTAAATGGCTTTAAAATATTAACTCATTTATTCCTCATAATAACCCTTGGGGAAATATTAATATCATTCCCACTTTACAGATGAGAAAATGTGCCGAGTTAAGTAACTCGCCCCAGGCCACATGTTCGGAAGTGACAGGGCCGGTGTTTGAACCTGGGCTGTCCACACTCAACCATTATTCCTCTTTCGTGCCCCTTAAATGTTGGATCTTGGACTTTGGTGGGTTTTTTTCTTTTTATTATCCTGTCTGCATTCCCTAAATACACATGGAGTTTCTCAGGAGTGGGGCCTGAGTGATCTGGTCAATACATGTTTATTAACTGATTAAAAACACAAGTATTGGTAGTCACTGCTGTACCTCACAAATATGTATAATTAACTGTTTCAATAAAAAATACATATTTAGGAAAACATAATAAAATAAAATAAAATCACATTGTTAATTGATGCAATTTTTATCCAACATCAGAGGGTTCTACCTGGGACCTAAATAGGAAAAGAAATGTATTAATCTAGAGGATAAAATGGGCTAGGAGCACAGAGGATAGAGGAAATGCATTTGAAACTGAAAGGCAGCAATAGGACAATGGGCTAAATGGAAGGCAGAAATTCACCTTGAACCCTAAATAGGCCCCAGCCAATGAGATGCGACCAAGTAATACATCTGAACCTTAAGACGGAAACCTGCACGAGTGAGGTTAAACTACGAGGGAACTCCAATCTGTTCTGTTGCTTTGGTTCTCACTGTGCTTTGCACTATCGTGAAGTTTAGTTATGAACTAGACGGCCTGCATGCTGGGACTAAACAACACACACGTGCAACAGGGGAGAGAGGCGCCCTCCAGAATACCAGGAGAAAAGGGGAGGGGGGCGCAAAGGACTATGGGCATACGGAAAAGAGAGCTGTATCCCTTGGCTTTCCTCTGCCCTCTTCCCCCTAACCTTTTCACGACTTGAGATGTGGCGGCTAAGTATTTAAAAACTGCAGTGTGAGGGAAAAGATGAGAAGACCTGAGTGCAGATGATGTCATCTCACACAGTGGCTGGGGGAGGGGGGTGGAAGCTGGACCCGCCTTTATTTTTATTTTATTTGGGCTTTTTTTTTTTTTTAAAGATGACCGGTAAGGGGATCTCAACCCTTGACTTGGTGTTGTCAGCACCACGCTCAGCCAGTGAGCAAACCGGCCATCCCTATCTGGGATCCGAACCTGTGGCTTTGGTGTTATCAACACCACACTCTCCCAAGTGAGCCACAGGCCAGCCCCCTACCTCTGCTTCTAACCAGCTATGTCACTTTGGGAAGGTTTATCCGTCTCTAAAAGTCTCAGTTTTCTTGCCTATTAAATCACTGGGCTAGACTATAGTATATAATTTTGTTGTTGTTGTTGTTGTTGTTGTTAATCCCTATTCGTCTTTTTTTAAATTGAAGCAAAATTCTCATAACATAAAATTAACCATTTTAAAGTGTACAACTCAGAGGTATTTAGTAAATTCACCATGTTGTACAACCACCACCTCGATCTAGTTCCAAAACATTTTCATTACCTCAAAAGAAAATCCCATACCTGTTAAACACTCAGTCCCCATCTTCCCTCCTCCCAGCACCTGGCAACCACCAGTTTGCTTTCTGTCTCTATGGATTTACCAATTCTAGATGGGGTTTTTTTTTTTTTTTTTGTCCTTTTTGAGACCGGCCGCACTGCGCTCAGCCAGTGAGCACATTGAGCGCACCAGTCTTCCCTATATAGGATCCGATTGAGCGCACCAGTCTTCCCTATATAGGATCCGAACCCGTGGCAGGAGCGCTGCTGCGCTCCCAGCGCTGCACCCTCCTGAGTGCGCCACGGGCTCGGCCCTAGATGTTTCATTTAAAAGGAAACATACAATATGGGGTCTTTTGTGTCTGGCTTCTTTCATTGAGCATAATGTGTTCAGGGTTCATCTATGTAGTAGTATGTATCAGCACCTCATTCCTTTTCGTAGCTGGATAATATTCCTTTATAGTCTGCAGTATGATTTTGGGCACCAAAATTATGATCCCCTGTCCTTTCCAATCATCTGCTCAACACACACATAATGAGCACCAGTTAAACGCAAGGTAGATGCGGAGGGGAAATGGTGGAGAAACGTGTTCCCTCAAATCTTTCCAAAGCAGGGGACCTAGAGTGGCACCTAGTGGTACCTGAGAAGACTTTAGGAAATACACTGCTGGGGGAGTTAGGAGCAAAAACACCCAACATCAAATCCCAACATGAGAGGTTATTGTCTTTTTAATTCTCTTTAAATCCCCCGGATTACATCCAGAAGGTCTCATGGGAGGCTAGGATGTCTCTGACTACCTCTCTCATTCTCACTTTTTGACAACATGGCTCAGACTTTCAGCAGACAACTGTATCTAGCTGGAATTTAGTAACATTTTGTCTTAATGTGTTTATTTTAAATTACCGTCTGTTTATAGCAAGTTGTAAGGTTTTTCCATTTTAGTTATTTAACATTTTCTTTCAAGTAAATCCAATAAAGTTTTTAAAAAGTAAGTCGATGTAAAGAAAATGGTAAATAATATTCAGGTGGTAATACAGACTTGAGAAACTGAATTGGTAATGGAATGACTAGTGTTCGGAAATTACCGACTTACAGATTGTAATTTGTCACATTTACTGTAAGGCCACCGTGTTATTTTTATCTATGTTTGATGTACTTATTTCAACATACCATGCTCACCACTGAGCACTTGGCTTTACTAATCGACAAAAAACAAATTTTAAGTTTGTCCCAATTTTGGGAAGAGGCCAAAATGGAAGCCCACACACAATCCCAAAGGTTTTCAAGGCCAACAAAGCCTTCATGTGTCTGACCCACTTAGGTTATAATAATTAATAATAGTTAATTATTAATGCAGACTACAACTGCATCAATAATTAATCCCATTTCATGCAGAAGCCAGAAGGCTCTACCTGGGGCCAAAACAGGAAAGGGATCCTTTCACAGAAATGGTAGAAACAGTAATCCATAAAAGCTTAACAAAAAAATCAGTAAGAAATACGAAAATAAATATCTGGCTCCCCGCCTGGGTTAGTTTTTTTCAGGTTGGGGCGGCAGATAGCAAGAAATCGTCGCTTTCCCAAGCACTCAGCTCCTCAGAAGCTATAAAGAGAACTTTCCCCTGAGAGTCCCCAAAAGGCGGGGAGGCGGTGGCTTCTCCAGGCCCCGCCCCTCTGTGGCCCCGCCTCCCTCCAGGCCCCGCCCTCCCGCGGGCCAGCTTCACTTCAGGAACCGCCCTCCAGTGGCCCCGCCCTCCCGCGGACCCGCTTCACTTCAGGCCCCTCCCTTACCGTGGCCCCGCCTCCCTGCGGGCCCCGCCCTCCCTTCAGGCCCCGCCTCCCCTGCATCTCTGCCAGCCCCGCGGTTCCCGCGCACGCTGAAGATGGCGGCCGCTGTAGGAAGGTTGCTCCGGGCCTCGGTGAGTGGCTGCCACCTAGGGACAGGCGCGGAGACGCAGCGGTGGCCCCGGGAACGTGCTTCCTAGACAGGATCCCGCTTTCCTCGTCCTAGGGGCCGTTCGCCCTCCTTGGAGGGTATCAGAGGGTCTCGGACCCAGAGGCTGCCTCCTCCGGCCCTTGCGCCTGCGCAGTACCGCCCTCCCCACCCCCGCTCGGAGTCCCTCCTCGCCCGGAGTATCCGGTCCCCAGTCCCATCTCCCCCTAAGCACCTGTCCTGGAGGCAGGTGTCCTGGCCCGTAGTCCTGCTTCTGTCACCGACGCTGTGACCTTGGACAAATGACTTCGCCTTTCTGGACCTCCATTTAAGATGGAAAGTGGTGCCTACCTACGGCAAGGCGTTGCTTTGAGCAACCACTTAAATGCTGGATGGACACGCGCAAAGTGTCAATGTGACTAACGAAAGGCGCTCTCCCCTCCCCTCCCCCCCCATCCGTCTCCACTGTTGATGCCCGCTTTTCTCCGGACAAAGCCTAGAGCCCTCTTGCCACCCTCCTTTCTCATGGTGGGGTTCCACGCAGGCCCTTCCTCCTTCCCTTGTCATGCTGGCCGTTGATGTTGAGCAGACATTTCCCTTGAGCCCTGTCCAAGCTTTTCCAGAGGATGAACTTTGCCCTACTTGTTTGTGGGGCTGGAAAGGCCTTGTCTTTTCTGAGGGAGACCTTGACTTGGTAGGACATGCTCAGCAGATAGTGCTGGGGAAAGGATTAAATACACAGGGCCTGGCCAACCCCCCCCCCGCCTGGTTTTTGAACCCTGTGTGTGGTTTTTAAGAACATAGAATTTTTGATTCTTGAGTCTTTGTGTTATAATTCCCCTCCGCTTTGCAGTCTGGAAGGAGAAGGAAGCAGAAGGGAAAGTTAAGAACATGGAGACTCAATCCATGCTCTTAGGGTTTGGCATTTGGTTCACAGGAACAAGGACAGCTGAGGGCACCACTGGCACAGTGTCTTTTCAGGAGGGCCAGTCCTCAGTCACCATTCCAGAAAAATTTTCTAATGTTAAGTTTCTCTTTCCAGGTTGCCCGACATGTGAACGCTGTTCCTTGGGGCATTTCTGCCTCTGCAGTCCTTAGGCCTGCTGCTTCTGGAAGAACATGCTTGACAAACATGTTGTGGTCTGGTTCTGGTCAAGCAAAGTTTGCCTTTAGCACCAGTAAGTGTTGCTAGACCCAGGTAAAGGAAACACAAATCATCATGTCTGGACAGGGGCTCTGGACTCTGGCTATACGTTAGACTCTCCTCTCCTCAGGATCTTTTAAAAACGTAGCACTGCTCCAGTCCCACACTGGACAACTTAAGTCAGTCCTTTGGGATGAGACCAGAACATCAGTATTTTGTAAAACCTCACCGGGTTATTCTAACGTGCAACCAGGGTTGAGAATCACTGAGGCAAACTGCCCTTGTCTCTGTCACATTTACTTATTGGTTGCCAGAGCTTGTGATCCTCTAATTTGAGGGGCTTGGGGACTGAGGTGGGGAGAGTGTCAGATGCCTTCTAGTCCTGCCGTGTATAAAGGGCTGTGAGTGGTGGGCAGCCTGTGGGGAACTGAGCTGGCCACTCGGGAACCAGACCGATCTAATGGAATCCTCCATAGTCTGAGGGAAGCTTAGCTATTTCTTGAGATTTCCACTCCATTCTGTAGGGTGTGGGCTTTGCCAAGATCAGCCTGACATAACAAGTGGTATTTGAAAATGCCTCCTTTAGACTTGTCTCACCTTTGAAAAAGCCATGTATTTAATATGCTATGGCTTTGTGGGAATGTACTTTAGCAGGGCCCCTGTTTATGGGTGAAACATTCTAAGTTTTACAATTTTACTACCCTGCAGCTTTAAAATATTTCTAGTAGTGATTCGATGCCACAGGCTTAAAACTTGCCTCCACTGGTCACAAGTCCCCACCCCCAGCAGCTCCTCCTGTTTCTGTTCATGGAAGTCCCAGGCATCTTGACACTGGATCTCTTTTGTCCCTCATTCCCGGGTAGAAGGAACTCCTCTCCAGTTTTGACACATCTCTTGGCATCCATTCTTTTCCTTCTCTTTTCTCTGCCTCACCCCTCCCCTCAGTGAGATCACTGAAATCACCTCCTACCATCCATCTCCCCTCCTCCTGATCCTCCTACCCTCCTGCGAGACTAATCTTCCTAAAAACAACTGTCTCCTTGTGTATCTCCTACATGAAAACCTCCCAGGACTGGCTCATATCTCTTCTGTGAAGAACGGACTCAGCAGGCTGATATTTAAGGACTCTTGTGGCGTGGCCCTCAGCCACTCTTGCCTGCTGTGTCTCCTGCTCAGCTTCTTTCCTTAAACTCACTTCTTTCTGATCAGACTGCCACAGGCCATTCCCTGCACATGCCTGCCCCTTCCTCCCTTCCTGCCATTTCCTCCATGCCATTCGCCCTGTCCTGTCTAGACTTGATGAAATCTGAACTGTATTTAGAATCCATTTCCTGTCTCATGTCTTCCTCAATTCCATCCTGCTTCTGTCCTCTCCATCTCTGTCTTCCTCTGTTTAGTTTCTCTACTACTTTGAATTGAGTTTGTGCACAATCTAGAACTATGTGGAAGTAAAAATTGCTGTACCTAAGATGCACAGTTGCACTGACTCTTTTAAGCGTCCTCTCCATCTCTGTCTTCCTCTGTTTAGTTTCTCTACTACTTTGAATTGAGTTTGTGCACAATCGAGAACTATGTGGAAGTAAAAATTGCTGTACCTAAGATGCACAGTTGCACTGACTCTTTTAAGTGATTTATACTACCTAGCAAATTATACTACTATTTAATTAGTGTGAAGCGTTTAAATAAAATCAGATGGGTGCTTGAGGTAGCAAATGGTAAACTGCATAAACGTGTGGCTTTTTTTTTCAGGTTCCTCATACCAAGCTCCTGCTGTCACCCAGCATGCGCCCTATTTTAAGGGTACAGCCGTTGTCAATGGAGAGTTCAAAGAACTAAGCCTTGATGACTTTAAGGGGAAATATTTGGTGCTTTTCTTCTATCCTTTGGATTTGTAAGTGCAGTTTCTGTGATGCTCTCATGTCATTCTGAGCAAGCAAACTCTGCTTGCACACTGCAGTGCCTGTCTCGCGTTACTGTTCTCAGGGGAAGGATTCTTTCTGACCCTTTGTCACCAGTGGCCTTGTTGATTGCGGCTGGCATCTGTAACTGATTTTCAAGTGATAAACCTAGGGAGTATAGTGGAATTCCTTTTAATGGTAGGGTTTTAGAATGGCTCTGTTTTATGTGCTCTGGAGTGGTGGTTCCCTGAGCCAGTCTATGAAGAAGTTTTCACTGGTCTGGAGAATAATGAGAAAATTAAGGATAATAAAATGAATTTTTTCCTAAAGTTACTTTATTTAAATACAGGTTTTTAATTTCATAGCATGTGCCCTCCCCCCATTTTTTGATATAATTTCTTAAATAAAAAGGTGATAGGAGATAGTAGGTTTTTTTTTTTTCACTAGAGTAACAGTGAGAATGGTTAACTGTTTTGCCCTTTTCACCCTTAAGCAAATTAAACCAGTTTTTAGATTACTTACTGTTCACATTTTAAATCCATTTTTAAATTCTCTGATGAGAATTTCTACGCTTTTTTCCCAGCACCTTTGTGTGTCCTACAGAAATTGTTGCTTTCAGTGACAAAGCCAATGAGTTCCACGATGTGAACTGTGAAGTTGTTGCAGTCTCAGTGGATTCCCACTTTAGCCATCTTGCCTGGATAAATACACCAAGGAAGGTATGGCATCATTTACTTTGCCTTTGCACTTATATGATCTTAAAAACAGAAAAGATCCCAGAAAAGACCAACCTAGTAGTTGTCAAAATATGACTGGTCTGAAATGGGTTGTTTATAAGTGCTTACCTGCTGGCAAAGTCTGTTAAACTCCGTCCATGTTGCTCTTGACGTTGCATGTATATTTCTTGTGCACTACACTTGTGTTTTCTAAAGTACACACAGTAATGGAGACAGGCTCTGCAGGGCAGGGGACATAGCTGGGGCCCATTTCCTCCCCCCTCACTTGAGCTCTCTGTAGATCCCACATCCCCTGCATGGCTTGTGCGACGGTCGTTAGGTTACCTGATTTCACTGTTCTGCGTGGTCAGTATTCTTGCCTAGAAACATGCGTGGAAGAATCAAAAGTTTTAGCCTGTTGCTGGGTTATCAATATCAAATTATTCAAAGTGGTTTTTTATTACTCTTCCATTTTTATGTTTGAGAAATTGGTCTTCACCTGAAAGAATGTGTTAAGAATTAGAAAAAGAAAGGTCTATAGTATTAGTTGGGTTTAAAGCACTCTCCCAAGCACGCCACGGGCTCGGCCCTGGGTTTTGTTTTTTTTTAACTCACCTACATAATAGCTGTGTGACTTTGGGCTAGTTATTTAACCTCTTCGAACCCCAGTTTTCCCATAACTAAAAGAAGGATGTGTTTCATAGTTTGGTTTAAATAAAGGTTGGTTTCAAAACAGGTTGGATTAAATAGGTGAGGCAGCTAGAGTTTTTAGCATACTTCTGGCAGCTATTACTATGATTTCTGTCCCAGAATATAATTTCTGTCCTCATTCATTCGTGGTTAAACCTTTATTGCTTTGAGTACGAAAAGCTTTCAGTCTTCAATAGTTCCATAACCAAATGCAACCTTCCTGGGAGGGATGAGAACTTAGGCCTCAGAGTTGGCTTCTTGAAGTCTGCTGAGAACAGGAGTAAAGAAAGGATTGGGCGAAACTTGACCTCCAGGAAGCACAGGGTCCTACCTTGATGTACCTCACAGTTTTGCAGGGGCTGGCCAGCTTGAACCCAGCTCACCTGCCCTCTCCTGTGGCCAGCTTCCAGCCTGCTCTCCTTCTGGGTTACACCTGGGACTTTAGCACTGTGCAGCACCTTGGAGCTTTGGACATTTTTGACTTCAAGGAGATTACCATCTTCCTTTAATAAATTAAAGCCTAACTCTTTCAGAGTTGGCAATGGCAGGAGAAAGAGTAGTAGCATCACCCCCCGCCCCTGCCGAGGGCCCCCTATCCTGTGGGGTCTTGCTAGTTTTGCAGTTATGTCCCTACCAGTTTCAATGTCTGGATTACAAGGGTGAGAAGCGGAGTCTGGCTGGTAAGATAAGACTTTCCTTCTGGCGTCTGGGCCTTGCTCTGTCCCAGCTCTGCCTCTGCTTCTACCTGGCGGACTCCTCCCTGCAGGAGCATGCACCAGCACCAGCACCAGCACCAGTTAGGCCTCCAAGCCCAGACCCCCGACTGCCAGGCCTGGAGAGAGAATTGTTGTACTACTTTTTACTTTATGAGTTTTCTGCAACTGGCCTTTTCCCTGAGTGATTAACACTTGGAATTCTCCCTTTTAAGATGGATTGTTAAAACTTGTGGGCTAAACGTAAGTGCATATATCACAGTGACACCAACATAGAAGATGAACACAGACCCTGTGGTATGGGGGGGTCATCTCATTACATTGCTGTCAACTGATGAAAGTGATGGGCTTGGTTTTCTGCTCTGCATAGACTTGGGGTCAGTATATTCCCTCTGCCCAGATTTTCCCATGGGATTTTCCCAAGAATCCACTCATTTAATAAATATTTATTGAATATAGATAAAATACATCTCTGTTCCTTCCCATTTGCCTGTGTTTCTTGCCAAGATTTGATACAGTAGCCCAAAGAATGCTTGCCAAATCACTAATAAGTCTTCACTCTCTCTAGTTCAGTGACTTTCAGATACTGTGTGACATTTGGGGGCACAATTGTGAATTTGTAAATGTGACCATACTGTGTGTTTTCCATGGTGGCTGGGTTCAGTCCTGCCTTTGTTAAAGCATCTGTCGTTAATAAGAGATAAGCTTTTTGTACAATGATGGAGACGCCATATTTAAGCATATGATAGAGCTAAATTTAATGAATGTTTTATTAAAAGCAGAATTAAAGGCATAAAAGGGTATAAGTTAGACTGTTCCTAGGTCTGGTACTGTTGAGGCACTAATGAGGATAAATTCTGATGCAGAGGGCTCTTCATAATTGACCCCAATGGAGTCATCAAGCATCTGAGTGTCAATGATCTCCCAGTGGGCCGAAGTGTGGAAGAGACCCTCCGCTTGGTGAAGGCGTTCCAGTTTGTGGAAGCCCATGGGGAAGTCTGCCCAGCAAACTGGACACCGGATTCTCCTACAGTAGGTTTTTTTCTCACAGCAGTGGGACCCTAGCAGAGGGTCGCAGGCCTTCTCTGCCTCGAGGGCTGTTGGTGTGGAATATCTACAAAAGGGAACCTACTTTGGAGCAAGGGTGCAGATGGTGTGCAAAGGGTGAAGCTGTGGGGGGTTGAGGGGAAAGGGATGGAGAAGCAGGGACCAGGCAGGCTGTCCATATAACTTTCATCCATGTGTTTTAAAGGAAACAGAACAATCTTTAAAAATTCAAAAAAATTTATGTTAAAAATTGGAAGCTCTAAACTCACTTTTGAGACTATTATCATAAGGTCACTGCTACCCAATTAAATGTTTTTGTATTTTTCAGATCAAGCCAAGTCCAACTGCTTCCAAAGAGTACTTTGAGAAGGTAAATCAGTAGATCATCTAGTGCACCTGGAGCTTCTCACACCAGAAAAGAACCACAGCTGGAACCCACTTTTAGCATTTCAAAGATGATTATTTATACAAAGCAAAAAAACAATCATGCTTATATTCATAAGTATTACTCTAAACATTTTGTTTTTGTAACACTGGCTAAGGCTCTTTAAACATGGCTAGGTGCTAATATGAGGAGTCATCTGTTGGTAACATCTTGGTGGCTAGCTAGTTTCTACAGAGCACCTAGTTCACCTGTTTCTTAGACCATGTCTTCATTGGGTAAACGCTCTTCCTTCTTAGCCTTACTTGAACCTTTGTCTACATCAAAGTAGTACAGCAAGCATTGAAAGCTTCTGATCAAGGGTCCTGAAATTTTCTTCTTGATTTTCTTCATTAAACTGAATTTTCTCTCAAGGTAACAATGATCATATTTTAGCTTGTTAGCATCAGCAGTGTAACCTAACCCTCAAAATGAATATATATGTGATTGAAACAAATGTGAATCATGTTATGAAAAAACGCGGTGGCAAAGTGACTTAACTGATCCCGCCTGGTCCCCACCCCTGACGTGTATAGTTTCCATACTGACTATACTCATTTTATTCGTTAGCTGACTTAGTATCTACATGCATTTCTAGACATTTATGTCATTATAAAGGATATTTATTGAATCCAGGGAATGAATTTGAAATCATTGTAATGATTTTCTTTCTTTAAGTCTTCAATGTGAAATACCTAATAAAAAATAAACATATTTTAAAATATTTGCCTTTTTTTTTTGTCTTTTTTTGTGACCGGTAAGGGGATCGCAACCCTTGGCTTGGTGTCGCCCACACCGCGCTCAGCCAGTGAGTGCACTGGCCATCCCCATGTAGGATCTGAACCCGCGGCGGGAGCGCTGCTGCACTCCCAATCCCAAGCGCCGCACTTTCCTGAGTGCACCACAGGCCGGCTCAAATATTTGCATTTTTAATACCATTAACTGTTGGGTCAGCTTACTCTGGGGCTGTACTTTTCTTTCTCTGATTATAACAACAAACATTTATTGAGCATTTACCTCAGGGACCACACTCAAGGACCCCAGAGTAGGGGCCAAACACATACAGAAACATTTCACCAAATCCTTGAGTGCTACCATGTGCCAAGCGCTATTTTGGAGGCACAAGAGTGAACAAAGATGACAAACTCCTGTCTTTATGCACTTACATTCTACAGGGGAAACATAATAAAAATACAGAGCGTTTGGAAGGAAAACACGGTAGAGTGAGAGGCTAAAGCAGAGCATTGTAGATGTTCTACATAGGGTGGTCGGGGAAGGCCTTAAGGGAGAATCAGTCTCTCTGGGTCTGTTTTCTCATCTGCAAAATGACAATTTTACCTATATCAGGGTTTTGATGATGATCAAGTGAGAAGAAACAAAGGGAGTTAGGGGGTAAGGGACTTGCGGGCAGAGGGCCTGGCGAGTGCAGAGGCCCCAAGGCAAGAGCGGGCTTGGGGTGGGTAAGGAACTGCAGGAGGCCACGTGACTGTAGCGGGGAAGGGGAGGAATGGAGTAGGGGCCTGGGTGCCTGTGGGCAAGCTGAGGACTTTGCACTCTGTTCTGGGATGGGGGACGAACGTCAGGAAGATTCTGAAAAGAGTGACTTTGACTTGTTCTGAGAGGATCACTCTGGCTTCTTGTTATAACTGGACTGTAGAGCTTGTGATGTACTGGAGGGTAGAGCCAACGGAATGACAGTGTGCTGGCCACTACACTGCTACAGGAGGACTCCTGGGGTATAATGGGAACACTGAGGAGGGGGCACTTTGCCCAGCTCTGGGGGTCAGCGAAGGCTTCCTGGAAGTGATGAACTCATGAGGGCTATAGGAAACTGAGCCAGGTGAGCCGAGCAAAGGTAGCTTGAAGAAAACCATGAGCTGGTTTCATGTTGCTGGAGGGGCAGGGCAAGGGAGGGACTGGCTGTCCCCGTGTTAATGGCCACTACTGAGCACTTCCTGTGGGCCCAGTGCTGTGTTAGGGCATTTACGTGTTTTATCTCCTTTGATCTCAACAAAGCCCTGAGATAGATAAAATTATTATCCTCATTCTACAGATGAGAAAATAGACATGGAGATACGGACGTGACCCAGGCTCACACAACTAATGGTGTGCTGGGTCCCCAGCCCAGGACTCTGGGTGTCCTCTGAACACCCTAAGCACCACTTCTGGTTTTCAGGAATTCAAGTGCACACACACAACCCCCACCTTCCCCAAGGCTGGAAGAGGGAGTGGGAGGAGGAAAGGAAAGCCTATTTTTCTCTCCAAATGGTCCCTACTTCTGCTGCTATTTAACAGAAGAAACTGGATTTGCCCCAACACTGGAAAA